GAGATCTTCATAAACGTGAATAGTCAGAGCTCTTTATCTCTGGTTTGTTAGCTGGGAACTCCTTCAGGTTTGTACTTTCAGTGCCAGTCAGTGCAGGAAGAATGCTCCTGCTAAATCACTCTCCCCCTCCCAGAATCTCCTCTGTTATTGACCAGAGACCAGAGCCTTACCTCACTTGACTTAACTTAGATTTATATCTCCTGATAGTAGTGTGTGTGCAAACACATAAAACTGATAGGGTTTAATAGCTCAAAACATTTTTTTTTTTCTGAAATGTGTTTGATTGGTCACCTCATTCATTGCACACTGCACCAAACAATATTAAAAAGGCTCTGACTGTACAAGGTCTGGGGTATTCTGTTTCAGTGATGCTATTGTCTGCACTAAATCTTTTCAACATTTTGCAGAGTTACTATGACACTTTTCAAAGGTTGGAACATACTGGCAAATTTCCATCAAAACTATCTGGATTTGGGAGCTTTAGTTCAGGGAAGGAAAAATATAAAATACAACCACATTTACTTGTAAAATTATACAAAATTCAATTATTTTTTCCTGCAGGCAAAATAAAAAAGTTTGTTGAAAATTAATGTTTAAAAGGTTTCATTGAAGAAAAAACTTGAAATTTCACAAGAGAATTTTTTGAGAATAATATACCATATTATTCTGCTCATGTATCACAATACAAGAAAAAAAAAAAAAAAAAAAAAAAAAAGGCTGAAAGATATGGTCACTTTTCAATCTAGATTTTTAAACCAGTAAGAATAACCAGCTGATCTCCCTTAGGTCAGTGGCACATATATATATTGCAATTAATTATTTTGCTACTTTGTCATCACATTTGTCATCACGTCACGTCAAAGCAGATGTCAGTCTATCCTGGGGAATGGCAGTTCCAAGTTTTTCCCCGCACAGATGTTGGTCTAACATGTCTGCTTGAACTTGTGTCCTCCAGCTTCCTGGACCATTGCTGGAAAGGAAGAGCAGGCTGGTTCCTAGTCAATACCAGGGGACCGTGACCTCACCTGTGACAATGGAGGTAATATTTCCCTTGTGCCAAACTTAGATTTACAGAGAGGCATCTGCTAGAGAGATCTGTCATGGCAAGCAGAGGTTAAGGTTAAAGCCAGCAGATAAAAGGTAAAACAGAGGCCATTCTCCTACACTAGGCACATAGGGACTTATTGAGGGGGACAGCCTAGAGGGATTTGAGCTCATGTTAAGATTGGCCAGCACAATGTGATAGCCTACTTCATCTGAGACTGCTGCAAAACACCATCAGACACTCCCTCTCACCAGAGATAAGGCATAATCCACAGTTTCAACATAAATCTCAGAGAGCTTCTTCCCAAGGTAAGATGAGCATGCTTCAATGAGCCACCACCGCAGTGCAGAGCAGAATGCTGAGGGCAAGGAAATGAGTTGCACAACCCCAGGGCTCACTTCATGTGGCCAGAGTCTAGTGGGAAGTAAAAGTGCCATTTTCATCTAGAAACTACTTTTATTTACATTGTTGCTTGCTGATATGGCAGGGCAACTGAGCACTGACCAGAGCCACACAGCATTCTTGAGAAAGTTGTATGCTGTTGGAAAGTCCTAAGCAAACTGGAAAAGCTTAGACAAAAAAAAAAAAAAAAAAAAAAAAAAAAAAAAAAAAAAACTGTCTCAGAAAGTCAGATATAACATGTGTGTAAAGGCCTGGGAGAGGGAATTCTCTGGAGGTGGGTGCACACTCACATTGCTACTAACAACAGTACAGCTGTTCTTTGTTCTTGTTGAAGTACGAAGAAAATATGTTTATGGATAGCTGTAATTAATGTACAACTCCAGCTGTTTAAAAGGGAACTTGGAATTACCTTGCATATTCTCAATATGTTACTCCTTAAGAAACAGCTGAACCTGGATGTCCTTATCCGCAGGAGAGCCAGCAGTTAGTGTACTGAGAGCTAGTCAAACAAATGTGAATTAAGGTCACCTTAACTCCAAATGGGAGCTTCTGTCCTGGCATTTAGTTCCACTTAACAAATCCATTTCCGTTTCAGACCTTTCTTAGACTTAAATTCACATCCTCATCTCCTGATACCCTGCGGTTAGGGTGGAGATAGGAAGAACTCATTAGCTTCAGTGAGTGAAATGCCACTGAACCACAACCTTCTTTATCCTATTTGTCCAAATTTAGAAACAAGCAGGGTTCCACAGTGAACCAGCTCCAGATTTATCCTAAAGCAGCCTCTATGTTAACAGGTAAATGTGTGACCCTTGCTCACTTTACTTGTGTATGATCAACAGCTTTGGTTTCCAGCCAGTTGTAGGCATGTGAGCTTTTCACATGATCCGTTACTTATTTACAGTATTAGAAATGCATTATGCATACATCTCAAAATGAGTCTGAACTCTCATAACCTCCTTATGCTCCTACACAGTTATTTGCTTGAGAGCATTTCATTCTCTTCACCTTCTACCTACTCAGAGCTGAATAAAGAAGCAAACACCAAACACTCAGAAGAGAACATTAAATTTACATTGACCTTCAAGTGAGTTCACCCTAGCCCTAGCAGAGTCATCTGGCCCCTCAGTATCCAGGGATTGCAGACAGACCAGGCAGAGTTATGGGTTTAGCTCAGCATCCCCTTATTTACCTGATGTCAGCTTAGCATAAGGCAGGGGCCTAAGCTCAGGCCCAAAGAGATGCCATGACAAGGGTGAAACACAGAGCACCTTGATGCCCATTCCTACACTGAGCTATTACATACAAAAAGCCCGGCACAGATTTAATTACAAATTTGCAGTACAGGTGATGAAATACAGAAAAACAAAAGTGTGTAACCGTCGAAGCAGGGATGTAGAGTTCACGGGTTAAAAAAAAAAAAAAGGGGAAGGTGATGAATATCACAGATCAGTATGTTTGTCATTGACACTTCCACAAGCACAGCAAAGCATTGTGCTTTTTCTGTAGGAGAGGTGCCCTTTATCATGGGCTGGAAGCACACATTAGTTGCCTTATAACACCCACTTGAAAATCTTTTTCAAGTGTTCACCACCTTCTCAAAACTTATACTATGTCAGCCTAATCAATGAAAAACTGAAAAAGCAGACCAACATCTTGCAAATAAGGAGTAAAAATACAAACAAGCAAACAAACAAACAAACAACAAAGCCACACAGTAAAACCTTTCTCTTGTTACTAGCAGATTTTTGTCATTTTATTTAGAAAATTCTGGGAACAAACACGCAATATGCTGAATTTGCAACTCTAAACGGTACTGGAGATGGAGGTAATTATACATGAGTTGTACCTAGAAACAGAGAACAAAACAGAACAAAACAAAGCAAAGGACACAGAGCTGAGAAGGCCCCAAAATGCTCTCAACCCCCACTAAGTGATTGGATCAAGCTAGAAGACTTCCCCTTCATGAAGGCAAGCAAAGACACCAAAAAGGGTGACTAAAGGCAGCTTTTTCATTAGTAAAGAACAAACCTTATTTGATAATGTGGATATAAATGAAGACAAAGCTAGTGATGAGATGATCAAGATACCTGAAAAAAATGTCATAATTCTAGACAGAACAAAATTTTTGAGAGAGACTTTATGATGGTGACTATATATCACATGAGAACTCAAAAAGATGAGAAAAAAGGCTGTTGAGGTTTTGAGAACAGAGTTGTGACTATTGAATTAACTGTGTCATTTGGAGGGCTTATGGAATCCTTAATTTGAGATAAAAAATGTAATTGAGAGCCAAAACCAAGAGCAAGATTGCAGAAAATATTCTGACTTCAATTTGGAAAAGGCAATTAGAGCATAAGTGGAGAACATCACTTGCAGACTGAAGGCTCTGAAGGAAAGCAGGTCTCGTTCAACGGATTGAGTTACACAAAGGAGCAAGTTGAAGAAAATTAAAAGCTCAAAAAAGAACAGGCTACATATGAAAATTTGAAGAACGGTGCATGAAAGACTTTACAAAAAGTGGAAGAGGACACGGACCACATGGATTTCTAGACTTTAGACAGAGCCACTGTAGTTTGTAATAACAAGAATAATTTTGCAAATGTTTGTTGAAAAAGAGAATCACAGAATCATGGAATCATCTAGGTTGGAAGAGACCTACAAGATCACTGAGTCCAACCTCTGACCTAACACTGACAAGTCCTCCACTAAACCATATCACTAAGCTCTACATCTAAATGTCTTTTAAAGACCTCCAGGGATGGTGACTCAACCACTTCCCTGGGCAGCCCATTCCAGTGCCTAACAACCCTTTCAGTAAAAAAGTCCTTTCTAATATCCAACCTAAAACACCCCTGGCTCAGCTTTATTCCATTCCCCCTCGTCCTGTCACCACGCATGTGGGAGGATAGACCAACCCCCACCTCGCTACAGCCCCCTTTAATGTACTTATAGAGAGCGATAAGGTCGCCCCTGAGCCTTCTCTTCTCCAGGCTGAACAAGCCCAGCTCCCTCAGCTGCTCCTTGGAAGACTTGTTCTCCAGACCCCTCACCAGCTTCATTGCCCTGCTCTATACTTGCTCGAGCACCTCAATGTCCTTCTTGTAGTGAGGGGTCCAAAAAGACAGAATTTACCAAAGTTGGTGTAAAGTACATTATCTTTACACGAGCAAGCATGATTTATTGTGGGAGAGATTCAAGAACTATCAAAATGGAACAGATCTTCACCTCTAACACTGACAGATCCCTTGTTAGTTTTAGTTTGAGTGTTACTACACAGATCTGTGTGATACCTGATTTATGGTAGTGTGAAGACAGACCCAGTCCCACCTATGCTCAGCTCAGACAGAGGACAAATCACTCCTAAAGAGGTGCCATGCAGGTGTGGTGGGACACTCACCACACCACAGAGGGGAACTGCCCAGACCCTTCCCTGCAGGCATACTATCGCAAAAAAAATAAAATAAAATAAAATACAATATCTTTGCTTTCAATAGCAGCTTCAGTTTTTAAATTAAGAAAACTCACCTTGGATGGATAGATCAATACCTACCCACAAGCCTTCCCTGCTCTTCCTGGAGTCCCTAAGGAGGTTTTTCTGTTCCTTCATGAGGCCTAACCAAGCTCATCATAGTCTTGGGACATGCTGCAGCCTTGAAAACACCACAGCCTCTGTATCCATCTGTGCCCTGGGTTGCTCCCAAAGGAAAGGAGAAGGAAGGGGTCCAGGGATGGGAACGACATTCAGCCAGTCTGCATAGTAGATCATAAGTATATGTCTGAAAACAAAACCAAAACAGACACCCCTGTCATAATGGCATATAAATTGAGATAAAGCACAATCTTTAAAAGCTGAGGTTTGTATTTACTCTGCACCCGAAGCATATCACAATGTCATTGGAAGAGTGCAGAAGGACTGCAGAGAAAAAGAAAAATATAAAGTTAGGTGAAGAGAAGAGAGAACTAGGTTAAAATATGGAAATTACAAAAGAAAACTCAAAATGTCCAGGGTATAGACAAATTCCATAGAGAAAACAATGCAGATGAAAATGCTCTAAATAACGCTGTAAAAAAGAGGCAGTTTAAAAAGACCAGAATAGTCAGAAAGACTCTTAACATCAGTTTAAAATTACAGTTTCTGCTAAACAACAGAAACTTCAGATCCACAATCCAATACTTATATTAATTTATTTGTATGTGCTGGGAAAAATCACCTATTCATTCTGGATTATTACCCTTTTTTATCCATAAACAGCATTATTAGAGAATACAACCACCAAGTACACAATCTCACATCTAAAATCATGTTTGTGAGCCACAGCATACCAGCTGCAGTAATAATGGGTCATGGATCACAGTTGGTATGTCTCTGTTCTGAAAAATTTTGAGTTAAAAACAGTATTATTTCAACTCAAGGATATATACCTTTTATTGTTGCTGAAAAAGAAGGAAGGAAAAGGAAGGAAGGAAGGAAGGAAGGAAGGAAGGAAGGAAGGAAGGAAGGAAGGAAGGAAGGAAGGAAGGAGAAGGGAAAGGAAGGAGGAAGGAAAGGAAGGAAGGAAGGAAGGGGGAAGAGAGAGAGAGAGAGAGAGAAAGAAAGAAAGAAAGAAAGAAAGAAGAAAGAGAAAAGAAAGAGAAAGAAAGAAAGAAGAAAGAAAGAAAGAAAGAAAGAAAGAAAGAAAGAAAGAAAGAAAGAAAGAAAGAAAGAAAGAAAGAAAGAAAGAAAAGAAAAAGAAAGAAAGAAAGAAAGAAAGAAAGAAAGAAGAAAGAAAGAAAAAGAAAGAAAGAAAGAAAGAAAAGAAAGAAGAAGAAAGAAAGAAAGAAAGAAAGAAGAAAGAAGAAAGAAGAAGAGAAAGAAAGAAGGAAAGAAAGAAGGAAAGAAGAAAAAAAGAAGAAAGAAAGAAAAGAAAGAAAGAAAGAAAGAAAGAAAGAAAGAAAGAAAGAAAGAAAGAAAGAAAGAAAGAAAGAAAGAAAGTCACGAATGTACTGTTAAAAGGGTGCTTAAAAGTGATGAAGACCTTTATTTGAAGCTGCTTAATTTCAGATCAGTACCCTCCAAATAGGGCTGCCACCTGCAGAGAATGTTTCAGCCCAGACTGGCAGATTATTTTAAGTAGTAATGTGAAATTGTGAAATGCTGGAGCATTTTTATGGGGGAAAAAAAAAAAAAAAAAGTGAACCAGAAAAATCTACTGTGATAGTGGATAACATCAATTTAATGGGGCCACAGGACACCAGACTAGTCCATTACAGCAGAGGACAATAGTCTCTTGTGAAGTAGCCTCCCTCCCACGAGGTGATTGCTAATGGAAGACAGATCTACAGCTTCCGTAACAAAAAGAATAGGGGAAAAAATGAGCCCAGACCCTTGACATCAAAACCAGATTCAACAGAAGCAAGGAATAAAGTATGGGAAGGTACTATGCTGAGCAAAACAGAGCTAAAACTCATGAGCTCATGAGATGCTTCAAACAGGACAGAGCTGGTGAGCATGGGGATTGCTAGAGACCCTGTGAATCCTCATTACAAATGTCTATTTTTTCTCTGAGTGGTGGGAGTTGTTCAAGTAATTGGCTCTTTAGGAAGCTCGAGATAAAATATAACACACTCCCTCTCAGCATGTCTGAGTTAAAACCAGCTGTTGAGGGACTCAGCACTGATGTCAGTGGCTTGAACAGCACACAAAGATCCCCTGTCCTTCCTTGCAAGCTCTTTCCAGCAATACCTTTTTGCTGAACTATTGTTGAATTAAAAAAAAATCATTGTAGTTCTCAACTTGAGCACCAAATCCTCCGTACTTCTGTCCTAAAACCACTTCCCCTCCATGGTCTAAGCCTCTCCTTTTTCACATCTCTTCACTCCTCTGCTCTCGACAAACATCTGGGACACTTACATGCCACATGTTCCATTTCCTTCCACGCAGCAGGGATGATGAGGACCTGCTCATGCTGTGGGTTACCCTATTAATGCATTTGGCAGGGCTTTACAAAGCACATCTAATGTGCCTGGTCCAGCTGATACCATGTTCTGATTCCCACATGATGTTACATGTCATGTTTCCAAATTTTTGAATGCATAAAAAAAAAAAACCTGTACCCACTGAGATGAAATCATATTTAGGTTACAAAGCAAATACATGCTGAAATAAATACCACATGCCCAGACACTTTTTGCAAACTTTACGAATTCACTTTTAAAAATTTAGTGACCTCAGCCAGCTTTTCCCATGCACATTCAGTGCAGAAGATAAAACTGGTTTGCAGCAGCTGCTGCCTCAGCTGTAAATGGAGGTGAAGGGAGCTATATTCCAAACACACTCCAAGGGCTCTGAAAATCCCTGGCCTGTAATTACTGACTATTGAATCTCCATGTCACCAAAAATGGGAATAATATCTTAACTTCATCTTTTTGGCAACAGTGAGAAAATACTTTCTTTAGAGTTGCCATAACATTTGGCTGCTGCCATGATGGAAAAGCTCTTGAAGAATGAGCGATGCTTCCTTTGGAGGATGGTTTGTGCAGGTCTTGTAAGTGGGACAAAAGCCTCCCACGCTGACTGTGCTGAACTGCCCAGTGGTAAATGAACACTGACCATGGAGGCCCTAAGAGATTCAGGGGTCTGTGATTACATCATTAAGGACTAATTTGTTCATATAAAGCAATCAAGTTGGGGCTGCCTAGAAAACTTTATCTCCTAATTTTGTGACACTTAAATTTGCCACCATGGTAAGATTCTTTCAATACTTGTGAAATGAATTGTTTCAAAGGTTTAGCAAATAACATAAGAAACACTTCTGAACAACTGTGTCACAAGTCTCATTTGTCAAAGATGATGACCAGTAGACACCTCTTTGTCTTTAGTGTGTCCCAGGGGTTGAGATACGACTAACAGCAGAAAAGCAGGCACAACCCTGTACTACACTAAAAAACTGCTCCTCGCAAGTAATAGTCTGGGGATGCTGCTTGGTGGGTACTAGATCTGTTGAAATAAAGACATTCCCCCTTTCAGAAGGAAGGGGAAAGAGAGGAACAAGCACAATATACTTGCTTTACCTCACACCTGGAAGAAAAAGGAAAAGGAAAAGGAAAAGGAAAAGGAAAAGGAAAAGGAAAAGGAAAAGGAAAAGGAAAAGGAAAAGGAAAAGGAAAAGGAAGATTAAATCTACTTCCGTGCTTCCATTTCAACTCATCATACAGTGGAAAAAATGGGCATTTTTAAAAGGTTATCTAGGTTTATTGTAAAGCCATTTTAAGGTATATTTGACATACTTACATATGATCGAAACAAGATTAAGAAACTATTCACATTGTTTCTGTAATGTTGGCTGTACTCTGCAGTCTTAGAAGAGATTGTTCTAAGCAAGAAGGGTTTAAGAAGACACAACAAGGGAAAAACAGACCTCTGATATGATACAGAGGGTCGAATAACAGCTGAGGGGGTGCTGAGAGTATTAAACATGAGGTTGTGATGAAGTGACGATAAATAAAGATATCTGTTTTGCTAAAGCAGCAGCCTTTCCACACATGCAGATACCACGGATCTGATTCTTCATTGCTTTGCAATTTATTTTCACCTGTGATAAGGTGGGTGTAGCATACTGAGCTGGCAATAATTTACAGCCCCTTTGAAAGGGTGGAAGAGATGAGTGTAAATGATTGCCAGGAACCAGCGTGTAGTGAGAGATGCATTGACCAGCTTCCAGCACTAGAAATAGCTCTTTTTTTTCTTTGTATTTAATAACTTCCCAGAGGGACACACTCATTTCTGGTCCTGGGAAAACACATTTTAAAGTTATGATATTATTATGTATCAAAAAGCTATTTTGCATCATTTATTATTTATTCACTGAAGCCTTGAGAGCACTTGAGTTTCATCTATGCATGCAGAAAAGATACAACCCAGTCCCAAGAAATTTATTAGCTAAGACATTTGCTATAACTAAACTTGCGTCAGATTTACTTAACAGATTTCTAAATTGATTTAAATAGTGCAAACCTTTCTGCAGACAATGTAAACTTAGCTTAAATGTTACTTAGAGAAATTTAGAAATCATAGATTACTGACTAAAATCAAGTAAACTGAACTAAGACTCTCAAATTTAAGATGTTTATTACTGTTAGAGTGCAGAAGTATCTGGCCTGTAAAAGTGAATCACATGAAAACTTTTCAAAGACATCAATTCTCTAAAAAAAAATCAATTTTGAAAGAAGAGGATTTTTTTTTGTCTAGAAAACCTCTTGTAAAACATTAACCAGCTTTTATCCTGCCATTTTGCCGCCTGACTTTATACTTAGCTGCAGCTGCCTGTGTTTTTATAATGTGTTAATAAATCTACTCAGACTATTTTTAAATCATTTGTCAGAGAAATGCTTTCTCATTCAGCCTGTGAAGACCGAATCTGTCTGGGAAGTACTTGGCTGCTATACAGATGGGCACTGTAGAAAACCCCTTGATAAAGATAGCTGATTGTGCTGTAACCAAAAATAGTTTCTGCCTGTATTAAGGACATACACTGAGTGGAAAATCTGACAGCAGAGAGGTGCTCTGCACCTGTGCCTGGTGCTAATCAGAGCCAAGCCAAAAGTGGCTTGAAGGCTTACAGCCTCTCTGCCCCTTCCTGCTCTTCATATACCAATTCAGGCACAGCTGAGTCTCTCTGTGAAACTGGGATGGGATAGGCACCCCCATGAAGTCCCTTCAGGCCCTGGTTTCTATTGCTTTACACTTGGAAGCTGAACTTTATTTAGATGTGTAGGGCAGAGAGAGGGAACAAAAGAT